AAGATCGTCATGAATTTGGGAATAATTAGGAAGCTTGCCAAGTTTCTTGCCAAATTTTTGTGTGATGTGCCAAATACACCATCAATGAGTGGTTCCTTTCATAGTCACCTTTAAAGCTTTCCTCATCGCCGCGTCTTGATCCGTTAGGATACTAAGTGGTTTCTTTTCACCCATACACCTCAACCATGAAAGGAATGATGTCCTTCGAACAAGTGTACTATTCCGTTAGTGGGTTCAGAATTATTAGAAAGCTAATATATTCAGTAAGGTTAAGTGATCGGAATGCCTGGGTGAAGGACGCTTCCGATCAGCAATATTAATGCATAATTATTATTACAGCTTAATCTTGACTGAACCCTTCGGGTTACACCCAAGTAGGAATGGCAACGGACCGGATTCGGGTCGGATGTGGCTAATCCGAATCCGATCCGTTTAGTAAACGGACCTTGGACTCGGATCCGAATCCGAGTCCGAATTTGCAAAATCTGAGTCCGAATTTGCAAAATCCGAGTCCGAGTCCGAATCCGATCCGACTCGTAATTTTCGGATCCGAATCTGGTCCGCTTATACGGACCTCCGAAATGATCTGAATATTTTTTTTAAATTTTTTTATAATGTCATATACCTATAATTGTTTGTATTGTCATACCAATTAAAGTATAAACATAACATATTTACATTATAAACTAAGTTACATAACAAAATTATGCTACAAAACAAGAAAATAATTGTCCCAATTTATAGAGCATATGCTTATACTCTCGAATTCGGACTCGGATCGGACTCCGTCGGACTTTGCGTAGGGTCCAAGACCGATCCACCTCCTATTCGGATTACATTTTATCGGATTCGGACTTGAACTAATTTTAAACGGATTCGAATCGGATTTTTTTCCTTCGGATCTGATCGGATTCGAATCGAACTCGAATTAAATTGCCATCCCTACACCCAAGCAACTAACGAACCGAAGCGACGAATTAATTAGGAATTAATTAATAAGTCGGCCGAGTAATTAATATTTAGACGTCGGAAATTCGAGCTTGGAGCGTCGAAACCGAGCGTCGAAAGTCGAGTCGAAAATAGTAAAAGACGAGACGTAAAAAATTATAATAAATCAACAATGACCGAAATACCCCTAGCATCGGTAAAACTGAGTGCTAGTAGGGGCGCGACAAAAAGCTAGCAACCCGCACCAAGTGTGCGTGGCAATGCTAGCATGCGGCAGCTAGCAGCCCGCACACTTGGTGCGTGGCTTGCTAGGCCGTGGCAGCTAGCAGCCTACGGTTTTGGGCGCAAGTGAGGTGGGCCGAAGCCTCACAACCGCACCATGGCAGCCCACAAGGCAACCAAGGGTGCCCAAGTGAGCTGCCATGTGGCCAAACTCAATTGGAGGAGAAGAAATGGAGGTGGCCGGTTATGGGAGCAAGAGTGGGGGGCAAGTTTGGTCCCCCCCCCCCTTCTCCAAATGGTCCTGACCTACTCCTCCTTGTATGCTTGCCACTTGTTGATTTATTACTAGTTTGATTATTAATTTTATTTTAGCTTTAAAATAAAATGGAAAAATCAAATTCTCCCACATTGATGGGAGAGCTTTTCACACTCATGCATTTCCCTATAAATACCCAACTTGGGGCATTGGGAAGAGCACTTGAGTAAGAGTTGAAAAAGGCATCACCATTGTGAAAACCTTTGAACTCATTAATTACTCGGGTTTTGGTCGGGCCTTGCTAACCCCAAGGCATTGGACCGTTTTCGGTGGTCGAGTTGTGGGTGGACTATCGTTGGAGGCCGTCGTAATTTCGAGGCTTGCTTTCGAAGTAAGAGCCCCTTCCGGTCGGGCGAAGCACGCTCCAAAGGTAATCGTTTTATCTTAATCTTGTGATTAATTTAATTATGTTTATTGTTTTATTTATTGCGAGTGCGATCTTTTTTTGGGTTTGTTTCCGCGGTGAGTTGGACTCACCAAACCCCAACAAACCAATTAGAAAATATCCATTCAAATGTTTTCGTGGTTTCTCGAGAAACTAATGCACATCCAAATAATATCGTTTGACCGTGATGATTCACACCCACAAAATTACAAAAGGGTAGCTTATACTCATTGGTTAAATAAGTCGAATCAAAACAAATGGCACCTCCAAACTCCTCGTAGGCAACCCGGCTCCTAGCATCAATGAGCCTACCTAACTCATCTACACGATTAGTATGATAAAAGCTTGAGTTATCATCTGTCATCCTTTTGAAGTAATCAAACATCATCTTCGCGTCATCATTCTCAAACACAAATTTTCTTTTCAGTGCAACTATGGCATGCAAATCATTTTGGGTAAATTGCATCTCTTCCTTCCCATTCCTTTGCCGAGCCATACAATTATATATGGTAGCCACAGGAACACCCACCTTTCGATCATTTAACAGTTGTTCAACAAAGTGAGGATTGTCCATAAGGAACTTTTGCCTAAACTTGGTAATATTTTTGGACTTCCCTGGTGTAGGCTGGTGACCATCATGCTCTACCACTGCCTACTCAATTATCCAATCACCAACATCGTTAACCCTGGCATACACCTTAACAGGGAAGCTAACTTTTTGTCTTCCGTTTCACACAAACCTTTTCACTTATTTGTGAGTTTGAGATAAAGGTACACCCGGACTTCTTACTCCTCCTACCGGGAAAACCAAAACATTCACAAGTCCAAGTCATATTGCGCTTTTCCTTCGCTTTTTCACCTCTACCTCTTGTCGCCCTACTAGAACGGACAACCCCAAACCCTTCTTGTTTTCCAAAACTCCTAAAGTATATGTCTATTTTTTGCCAACTATCAAATACCATTCCAACAGCGGGGGGAGGAAGAGATACCTCAACATTTGCACACTGTTCAACTTTAATACTTATAGCCACACTACTCTTTCCTTCCGTTCGAGTTTTGTCTCTCCAACAATCACCTTTTTCCACAAAAATTCAATTAATATCACATAGTTAACCCACAACCTAACTAATTCAAAAATAAAGTACCATACTTAACTAAATTAAACAGTGGTGGGCATTAAACAAATCAACTCCAACAGCAACAACAAAATAAAGTACCTTAACTTAACTAAATTAAACAGTAGGCATTAAATAAAGCAACTCCAACAGCAACAACACAAGCATAAATCTTAGGACTAAAAGCAGACCCACCATTGACACTGTACACTAAACACCAACGGGACACAAGACACTGAAAAGCAAGAACACACAAGACCCACCACCACCAACAACAACAACAACAACAATAACTATATAAACTATGCAAAATAATATGCTAAACCATTAAGGAGGTGTTTGGTTCACATAATTAAGGTATAAGGTATGGGTTTAGAATGGTTTAAACTCATACCTTATGTTTGTTTTATGATTTTATGAGTTTTAAACCCATACCTCAAACCCCCAAGGTACGGGGTTTAGAAACCTTGGTGGGGGGAGGTGGGTTTGGCTCATTCCCATACATTTAGGCATTAAATAAAAGAAAAACATTGCTTTTATAATCATACCAAACATATGGTATTAAGAATCAAGTTCCAAACCCATACCCATGTGGTTTCATTCCTGATTCCAACCCTATACCAGTTTGCGAACCAAACGCCCCCTAAATGGGCAATGCTCTCTCTCTCTCTCTCTCTCTCTCTCTCTCCATATTCAACCTAAACCGAAGTAAAGATTACCCATTCACAACCCACATTAAATGTGCTCAATTAAAATTAGTTAACATATTACCTCCTTCAACAAGGCTTCAAGGGCTAACAAACACTGATCGTCCTCATCTTCTTGCTCGCGGGTTTTATATGGGTCTTCGGGGTCTTCAATGGCATGTTCAATGACAGCTATGTCACAATTGAACAACACACCGGTATCACGACCACCATCATCTTCGTCATCGTTTGTTAACAACGAATCCTCCATCACCAACATCTTCCTCGCCATTTTCACAGATTAATTCGTCTTCATAGATGTTGGTAATGGAGCTTCAACAACAAGATAGAGATTCTAGAACAAATAATGTAAAATGAAAAAGGGTAACAGGTAAAAGGGGAAAAAGAGAAGGTAAAATTAAGGGAAAATAAAAATAAATAAATAAATAAAAAGGGAGGAAAAGGTACATGTATAATACAATTGCTTATACTTTCCTCCAATACAAGTATTTACCTTTATTTTAGAGTAAAGTGCTGCCTTGATACTGTAGCGTGGGACCTATTCTTTTTTTTCCCTTCAAAACGGCTCCCATATGCGTGCTATGCATTTTCTTATGCATAACAACGCTTCATTTGGACTTCCTCATAAATGGCTGCCATCAAGGCCCAATTTCCGAGACGGCCGAAAAAAACAGCACGGCCCACATTTTTAGGTCACTAAAACCTAGGACTAGGGCACACAATTCTAGATATAAATAGGGAGATTACCCCCAATCTTTGGGGCACGTTCAATCATTACATCATTTATTACTCTCGAAAATAGAGACACCTGATCTTGGAATTCGAGAAGATATTTAAAAATTAAAAAAAGTTTATATTTTGAAAATATATCGTGACAAATGTAACAAGACCCCTTATGACTACTCCCTCCGTTTTTAAATACTTGCTCCACTTTCCTTTTTCAGCCGTTTTTAAATACTTGCTCCATTTCTTTATTTGAAAAGTTTATACAATATTTAATTCATTTCTCTCACCTAGTGGACCTAACAAATATCATATTTTATTAATTTCATATTCTCTCTCCTCCAATTTCTCCACTATTTTTGCTTTTTACCATTTTTTATTTTTCCACCAACCCCATTACCTACATATTTTATTACTTTTTCTAATTTCTCCTAAAACTCCGCGCATAGAGAAATAGAGCAAGTATTTAAAAACGGAGGGAGTATATTTTTCATAAAGTTAAAATCACAAAACACGGTCAAATGGGAGTGTGTGTATAGAGCTAAAGTCAAAACGAGTCAATTAATAAAAAAAGAAGTAGTACATATTAAGAAAGCAAGAACTCATATCGTATAGTATATACATCATTATATTGTACAAAAGTTGTTATCACCCAAGTTGCACACTAGTTCTTAAAGCTCTATACATTGTATTATTTGTATATAAGTTGTTATATGTACAATATTGATAAGAGAGAAAAAAGAAATTGATGATCTTCCCCTGATTACAAAGGAACATTACAAATTGACATTAGAAAAAAAAAATGTTAGAAGAGAGAAAAAATGAATAAAATATCCTCAAACTATGTAAAGTAAGAGGAAGACAAAAGAATGAGCACGAGCACTTGATTCCTCCAGAATGACACTTTTGTAATAGACTCACTTGAGATTTTCATTAATTGTTAAGAATTTCTTAAAGTGCCTTCTTTCCTTGGTTCAGCTCCTGCGATCTCAAAGGGAGGAAAGACAAGACCTTCATCCTACAAATACAGAGCACGTAAGTTGCGAGTGGCAAAGATGAAATGATTCATATAACAGATTCTTCAGTACTGTGAAAAAGATAAAATAGATTTTTAACCATGACTTTAATTCATGCAAGCACTCCAATTCAACAAGTAGCTAACTATTTCAGCATTTTTACTCTTCAAGATCAAACAGTGCAACTGAACCACAGTAAGAAGTCTGACACTTTTTCTAGACATCAGATTTAGTATCTCAATCCACGTTAAAAGTTGGGAGAGTCAAGAGATGGGGAGAATCATAGAATGCATTGGGTAGAAGAAAGAAATGAAAAGTGAGAAAAGGTAGTAGTGACTAGTGAGTAGCCATCGGTGAAGTAAGGAGGGAGGAAAGAGGAGGAGGATGATGCTGAGGCGAAATGATACCCATGTTTCAGTTTTAATTACCCAACACGGTTACTTGAGGTGAAATAATAAGACAGCATAACATCATGAGGAGCAAGGCATATAAAGGATGAAGCTAAAACATGACCCAAGCCCAAGAATAAAAACATAAACGTGAATTGAAATTTCAAGAAAATTACACTTGGCTTAAACTACCCTGATATTAGCTAGACCTGAAGTGACCTAAAGTCGAAGTCACTTAGAGACAGTTGCAGCCTTAAACTGAATTACTGAAATGACTATAACCAAATACAACTCTAAAAATAGGTGGCAAACTCAAACCAAACTGAGCACCAACAAATTGTACAAAAAAATTTGCCTAAGATGAAGATTCAGAATTTTTATTAGGAAAATTTGTAAATTACCACCCGTTAATTTTTTTATTTTATTTTACCACCACTTAAATTAAAAAAATTACTCAGATTCCTACCTTTTTTAAAATTCCGGTGGGTTTTCCGTCTATGGGTCCACTTCCATTTCCATTTACCGCCGCATCACCGCAAAACCTCTCTTCTCCATTTCCTACTTCATTTTCTATATTTTTTTTTATTTTTTTATATTGAATATTACTTTTTTTTTTTTTGCTAGATACATATCAATACTAAATACTAAAATAATCACCAAGAATATTCTAGAAGTACACATGTCACGTTTACATTAAAAAAATTCCCGCCAAAAACTTTTTATTTTTTTATTATTATTTTCCTTTGAAAATAAAAAGATAATTAATAAAAACAAAAAGAATATACAACCTTATTTCCAAAAAAAAAAGAAAAAAAAAAGAATATACAGCCTAAATAATAGAACAATAACAACAAATTTAAATAAATTAAATTTTAAAAATATACACAATTTATAAACAAATACAAACTTATAATATTATTTAATATATAAATATAATTTTTTCCTATGAACATCCGAGCGTTGCTCGGGCAAATAACTAGTTATGTTATTATTTTCCTTACTACCTAAATTAATAATGCCCCACCCCTTTGTTTTTCATCATAAAGTTTTCTTGTATCCTCTTTTAGTTCTACAGTTTTTCAAGCTAAGTAGGAGGATACTAGTTATATTGAAAACAATTTTTGAAACAAATTATATCAATATAATAATGCAATCAATTACATACTATTAGAAACGAATCTAAAGGGACACTTGCACATTATAAGTATAACATATTTAAATATTTTTTCTCACATGTTTTTATCGTTTTAATATACTTCATGCGTTTTAATACCGGCCTACCGGGTGAATCAATTCATTATGTTTTATATAATTACATTGTTTTTATAATTATTCAACATCCGTACAATGCATGGGGTTTAACTTATTAAATGCTCTATTTACTTTTGTGTGATAGTAGAAATTTATTTATTTTTATTTATTTATAGAACTTCACAATACAGCACATTTACTGATGTTCATAATTTTGTTAGTAACACATGCTTTTTAATAAACATATTGGAACATATTTTTTCTAAAGCTGGTGTAAAAAAAAAAAAAAAAAAAAATTAAAAAAAAAATCTTTCTAATGCTTAAGAATTCCATTAAGCACTACAAATGTAACCCATGATAAGGTAAGGAATCCTATTGACACATTTTCACCTAAATAAAACTCTACAATTGATAATGGGGGGCTTAGTTCAAGTATATTCAGAACAACACAAAAAGAAAAAGGGGAAGGGGATTTAACTAGCCACGTAACAAAGTAGTATGACATTATTGATTTGGGTAGTAAGAAAATTATTAACTAATATATATTTTGAAAAACAAAAGTAATATTTATTTAAAAAAAAGGAAAATAAAATAATATAATAATGAATAAGGATGGAATATTCCTCAAAATACCTTCTCCGGTAGCCAACTTACCAATTTGCACATATATTACAAAAAGTAATACTGCTGATAGCAAATAACTGAAGTCATATTACCTTGATACCCACTCCCAACCACACAACACTAAATATTTGGAAAAAAAAAAACATTAAAATGGGAAATTATTACCTTTTCTTCATCAATAATGGAATTAGATGTCAAATTCAACCACAAACTCTAGATTTAGAGTTTTTATGGTCACATTTTGACTATTAAAGCCTCAAGCTTCAATGATGGTGACGAAGCAAAAAGAGAAAAAGGAGAGAAAAAGGGTGGCGGCAAGGGGCGGGTATGAAGCACTAAAGGGTGAGGGCAAGGAGGTAGCAACAACAAAGAGTGGCGGCACCACCAAAAGAATAAGGGAGAAGGTGGTGGTGCAATGATGATGGAAAAACGGAGGTGAATGACCAAATACCCCAAACAATATTAAAGGGTTTTGATTTCCTTTCCCTCTTTATCCTTTTCTTGATTTCATTCCCTTTACCCTATACAAACCAAACAGTGCCAAAGATTAGTTTATTCATATCTAGATCCATCACCAAGAATTGCCCCATAACATGAGCTTCAATAAGGGATAGTCTCAAGGGAGATATCTTGAGAAAGCTAAATGAATGAAACAACGATTAGCTCTAAGGAAGCAATGAAGCATACGACGCTCGTAATAGCTATGGCCTTGTATTTTCTTGAATTTCTTCCATATTTGAAAGTGAGAGGATGAAGGAAGAAGAGGGGGGTTAAATATCAGGAATTGTCATTTTAGGGGAGTACACCGGGCTAACTTGTTGAGTATCCTTTGGGTATGCATCTATCGTAAGTAGTTAATTGCTTGTTTAAATATGTTGTGTGATGAACTCTTCAGGTTTCTTACTTGTTACTATTTTACAACTTCCCCCCTTTATGCCATTATTTAGAAGGCTATAGTCCCCAGACAAGTGAAAGCATCTGTATGGACAGCGAATGTAGAGAGAGTACATACTTGAGAGTGGTGAACATCTATGCGTTCAGAGGCCAAACAAGGCTTTGTTTCATCATGTGTTATGTATTATCCAGTTTAGTTCAAAGTTTCAGAGGCAAAATGGGTGTTGTAATATCTGTTATTGTATGTGCTAATTGGCTGGAAAAGAAATGATAGGATTATCATGGTCAGGCGTCTTCTCCGGCTTTGTTTATGGGACAAGATGGTTTCCCTATCTACTCATTTCTCTCAAACTAATGTGGCTTTCTGCAATGTATATTATTATCCTAAACATAATTGATTTTTTTTTTCTTTTTGCTTGCTTTAGCGGGTGTTTTGTTCTTCTTATGAGGAGTATTAATGAGTCTAGCAGCTCTAGCCTACTAGTGAGAAACTCAACTGAGCTCAAATCCAAGGAACCTCAATCTTACCCCTGTAAAATTATAACTCCATACCCCCAAGAATCAAACCCTAATCACTCTCTCTCACTCTCTCTCTCTCTCTCTCTCTCTCACAATCAAGGATTAATTAAACACTTTGACATATGTATGAGGTTCTCAATCCATACCTCCTTGGTATAAGTCCCCAATCCATTCCATTCTAATTTTTTTGAGCCAAAAGCTCCCTAAGCAAACTATGATTGGGTCAAGAAGTTCGTAATGAGGGTTAAAATAATTAGTTTAAATAAAATATAGGAAACTAGTTATGTTTTATAAGTTACTTAACAAATTCAACAAATACCTATGAGAATCTTAATGTATCAGAACTTTAAGTGTTAATACCTAGCTGTTGTGCACATAACAAGCAAGGAAATATATGTATGGCCTTGATAAGCAAAATCACAAAAATTCCATTGTGATTGGATGAGTAAGCATTCTATTTTTTTTTTTTCCTTTTATGTGGATAACATTTAGACACTTAGGCATTCAGACCTAATCATTACAAAAAGTAATGATGAGACATTGTAGCATGAAAGGCAATTTCTTGGTTAAAGCTCATAACTCGACACATTCAAGCTTGGTAAAGAAGTCGAGTCGAGCCGAGCCTGAAAAGTCTGAGCTCCACAATTTCAAGCTTGGCTAAATCTCAAGTTTGGATTGACCAAAGCTGTGCTCAGCTTGTCATCATATTTTTCCGATTACAATGTAGCAAAAATACTTACGACTATCAAAGTAGAAAGTAGCATAGAGCTGATATGGTGACAAACTGAATACTAAGATAATTCATAAAAATCTTCTCATTGTTGAGATGTCAACCCACTAAAGTTGCACAATATCAAGAACAAGCCCATTGTAAACAAGGTATTCATACTCTCTTGTGGCTAGGCACATATTAAATTCTCAGTACCAACTACACATTTATGCCTTGTAGATTGTTAAAAGAATCAAAGCTTTTAATTGAGAAAAGAAATGGAATACTTACGAGACAGTATCAGCGCCACAAAATATAGGAACCCTTCCTAATCCTATGCCAAGCCACTGCTTCCTTGGTGAAGATACTAGATTATCAGCATCTGAACCTGTTGCTGTCAAAACAAACTTCAAGAAGAGATTGAGAGCATCAGATATAATTGGAGAAAACTTTAATTACTATGATATAAATGGTAACAACCAAGTCCACCGAAGGTCTGAAGGATATACCATGTTTTCCTAACCTAAAATTCCAATCAAAGAGAGAAAGAACAACAATATAACTACTTTCATCAATTTTAGAATTCCAGCAACTTAAGTGACTGAGAACGTTAAACCCTTGTGCAAATGCATGAACACCATTTAACACGGTATGAATGATTTTCTTCTCTTTCCAAATCTCATCTAATATTTACCAACCAAATATATCCTGACACTCACTTGTTCAAGAGAAGAGAAAACAATTCAAGACAATGCTTGCTAGGTAAAACAGATACATGTCATCATAGGATGGAAAACTGATCATATATGTCGCTTTGGGGATTATGCTATAATAAATTAATTTAAATATATAATATCAGTTAGTTTCTTAGGTAACAGTGTATCCAAAGCAGGTTTTTGACTTCTACAGAGATAAAACACTTTTACCAGCAGAATGCATTTCATTATAATTTCACAATTAGAGGAAAATTGCCATAACACAAGGTAACCATTAGAGTCCCTCTTATGCAATCATTATTCAATAATTGATCCCTAGGAGTTAAAGAATCCAGAGATCTTTGCATTGAATCCATCTATGCCACAAAGAGGGAAATCAAAATGGATTCACTGACCAATAACTAGGCAGCCATTAGTAAAACAACCTACAGAACAAAATGTCCATAATGCCCATAAGGATTTTCTAAAATCAAGAAGAGGAATCCATATATCGATATAAGAAAATGCAGAGCTAACATACCAGAGGAAAAAGAGTGGCCATGACAGCATAGCTCTCCAGAGGAGGGAAAAAGAAAATTGCCAGCACACATGGACTTCCTGAAATCATGCCCCAAATCTTAAGAAAAAGACAAACTAAGAATCTTGTTCTTATCTCATTGACTCAGACCCATGTATTTTCTTGAAATTTTAAGATTATAGATAGATTCTTAATCTATATATTTACCTCCTCAATCCACTCAATGATATTTAATAATTTAGCAAGTCCACATAATACATCATTTTGGAAAGCTTTTAAAAGGACTCAGCTTTTAAGTTCATTTCAAAGAACATAACCATATCATTTGAAAATGAAAAAGTAGAAAAATATAAAATAAAATAAAAAATTAAAACAAAAAAAATACCCTGAAACCGAAATGGATCTTGAGCTCATTGGTCCACATCAGAGGCAGATCCACAACAAACCAAGGGTGTGCACTACTCAATGCTTCAATAAAACTATTTAAGGCAACTTGATGCAAGATTATAAAGGTAGTATTTTGAATACTTTTGAATATGCAAGATTATAAAGGTAGTATTTTGAATATACAGTAGAGCTATATCATATTAATGTGGGTCTTTGAATACTTTTTTTTTTCCCAAAATGTTTCATATTATGACATAATCTTGATTTTTTTTCTCACTATAAATTGTCAAAAGTTATAAAGATAACACAATAGCACCAGCCTATAAATGGGACTACAAGAGGTCATAAATGAATAAATAAGCTTATCAAACCAGGCTTAAATCATTGTTACTTATCAAAGTACGGAGTATATAATTGTGCATATCTTATATCAAAATCCTGGATACACCATTGGTCCACATACTTGTATGTATAAGACCTATTAAGCTATTGAACTTTCAACGTGTCTAGAATAGAGTTACTTTGTCCTATTTCCTAATTAACTACATTTACATTGGTTTACTTGTATCAAAACCAAATCAACTTTAAAGTACATTTGTACTTCTTAAACCAACTTTAAAGTACATTTGTACTTCTTAAATCAACTTTAAAGTACATTTGTACTTCAAGATGTGCCTTCTATGCATATGGCCAAAATGACAGTGAAAGAAATAGTTAAATTTAAATTAATACATTTGATTTCCTTGTACTTAAATTACAAAGCATATTTGTCAATCGGGAATTATCATGAAAATATATAATTTCAAGCAAAAGGAAAACATAAAGTTCTTCATAGCTCAATAAAAGAACTTATATCACTTACTATCCAGAAACTCGAATTTACTAACAAGGGTTGAACCCAACATAATGGTGAATATTAAGATTTGACTTTAAATTGACTCAAAAGTTACAGAAATATGAATCAACAATCATGGGATTTATCAATCACTTAATAATTGTTTGTTCATGCATACCAAAACCAGCAAAAAATGCCCAATTGGACTCAAAGAAGTCCAGCCTTCGATCAAGTGTAACTCCTGAAAGATTCCATTTGTACCTGATAGAGCAGCATCATAGATATTCAAAATCAAACAGATGCAAATACAATAGAGTACATAGAATAAAAAACAAGAGGACGTACTCAAAACAGTAGTAAGCATACATCCAGGAGAGTAGCAAGAAATTGAGTGCTTTCCCAGCATATGGTATGAAACCAGTGGCAAAAACCTGCATATGTCACCATGACCAGTCAAGGTAGGATCAAACCAGCTTCTTTTAATTAAATTTTTAATTTTAATTTTTTTTTTTTTTAAAAAAAAAAACATTGAGAGGAAAAGGGTTAGAGCCGTGGAGGGTAGAGAAAAGCAGCTCATTTCTTCACCATAGTATGTGCAGAGGCCAACATTCACTGATAATGATGACTAGTTTACATGCCTGTGACAAAAAATACATACAAAAAACATCAGAAGTAGTCTCACCTCTAGGAAGAAGAAGCTCAGGAGAAGAATTGAGTAGACTTGCTCTCCTATTCCGATCATGATCCTAGAAGTAGATAGTGAGAAAACATTCAATCATACGGATTTTAATGTAAAATGATTCCGGCATTAAAAATACGGTTCCAACCAACAAATTGATAATAAGATTAATGTACAAAATCAATCACGCTAAAAATTGGGCAAATAGTAGCAATCAAGTCTGATGACAACTATCCCTAATGGAGATAGCACCAAAGTTACTCAGCATTATGTCTTGTATAAGTAGGACAGTCACTTAGAGAGGTTATATTTTATAAAAACAGATTAAGTGTATATTCAAAAGATAGTAGCAATCACATTTGAGATTTACCCTCCAAGACCAGCAGATTTATCTGAACCAGGAATTTGTGCAATTGATGCCTCTTTTTCACCTGCCATCGGTGCTGTTGAATGCTTATGTTTCCCCATAGCAATAAACCCATGCTTAGCTATATCATTGTACCTATACAAACAGAAGGTTAAACAACCTTAAAATTATGAATAAAACTTGAAGACTTGTGAAAAAAGACAAGAGAACTTTCTTTAACAGTTCCAATGTTTAAACCTTTTGCATTTACTACAGTCAATTCAAGAGCTTACGAAAATATAGGGGGATAAACAAAAAATATAGTGCCAGGATGAGAATTAATAAAAAAGGGTTGTTGCATATTCATCTTAGTGGAAAAACACGACAACTGTGATTGCCTTTATTTTCATTGAAAAGCAATGTGTTGTGGGAAAAGATTTATTTAATTCATAAATGCAAAAAGCTTCTAGTTTTTTTACTTATGCAACTTTTAGAAAATAGACTAGATTCATTTGTCTATGATACTACAATATACTTTAGGAAAAATTGTCAAAAATAAAACGACCTTTAGACAGTCTTTCAAAAATAAAACGACCTTTTGATTATTCTAAAATAAAACGACATTTGATATACATCTGCTCAAAATAGAACATGACCGAATGGAACCCTATTTAGTAGGTTATTGTGACACGTATCACAATACGATTGGTAATTTTTTTTTTGGCTTTTATTACATAAATTAATTTTAATTCTAATAATGAAAAAAAAAAAAAAAAAAATCCCACTGTCATGCCTTAGCCCCCTGCTTGCGAATTCCCACCCATACGCACCCCTGTCGCCGTCAGCAAACCGCAAACCCAACCAAACCTCACCCTAGCTTGTCCATGTTGGTGAATCGCATCCGAGCCCCCACCCTTTTCGCGTGGCCTGGGTTCAACGACTTGGGGGTTGCGGGTTATTTTCGGGTGTGTGGAGTGGGTAAGAGCGATTTGAGGTGGTTTTGGATGGTTTCAAGGGGATCGGGTGATCCAAGGGGTGGCCGCGGGTGGGTTTTAAGGTGTGCAAAGTGGGGTTTAATGGTGGTTTCAACTTTCAAGGGGGTGGTTGGGGTTGGTTTCGAGGTGTTCAGGGTGGTTACAAGGTGGGTTACGGTGCAATGGATGGTTGAGCGGTGGTAAGGGGGAACGGGAGGTGGCTACAAGATTGGAAGGTTCTCTAATGGAGGTCGGCGTCGGGCTATGGTGGGTTGTGTCTGTTGTGTGGGCAAGAGGCCAACAGTAAGGAGGAAGAGAGCAAAGATAATTTTTTTAAAAAATTCTTAAAAAAAAAAAAAAAAAAAAAAAAAAAGAAAGATGGTTTTTAAAAAATTGTTTTATTTAATTAAAAATCAAATTTTTTTAAAAAGAAATTGCAAAAATAATCCTAGCCAATTGTAGTACGACATGTGTTCGGGAATAACCTTTTAAACAGGTTACTAATTTTTTGTTCTATTTTGAGTAGATTTATGTCAAAGTTGTTTTATTTTGGAATAATATAACGGTCATTTTATTTTTGAAACACCGTCCAAAGGTCGTTTTATTTTTACAATTTTTCCTATACTTTAAGCGTAAGAATCCAGAAGATAAAAGCAAATACATTTAAAAGTTACCAGATATTGCTCAGTATAATGCTGGACACGTACAATGGATAGAACCACACCAGCTGCATTAAACAGGCAAACAAAATTTTCAAACTCAAAATTGTTTGAAACAGGTCTGCAAAATATTCATTCTCAAGAAAAAAGTACACTCAAGAAGGAACCACAAAAAATATAAGCAATGCGCCAATCAGTAATTTTCCACATACTATCAAGTTAAAACATATAGAAAACAACTCAAAGGAGGAACGTCACAGGGAAGAAAGACAAAATTACCTAAGACCAAGGCAACTGTGGTGAATTCATAATGAGGAGATAGCAAAGAAAGACTCCATGAGGACAGGGATATTTATGGCCAATAACCCTTTAGATTCCAAACAGCCAATAGAATAAACATGTAATCACATTGCAAATGATGATGACATATAAATCACACACAACAGAAGTCATAAATTATATGATCTTATATAGAGCATTTCAGATATCAATCAAGCATTTTTTTTTTAAATATAAATTTCAAATTTTAGTATTTATTCTCCAATCTGGTCTTTGAGAGTGTATTGTTAACTAAAACTTTGCAATTAGATTTGAAGGAAACTTGACTCTCTTTTTCTAACAATGGCAAACTTTTCAATGGATATATCATATGTTACATCTCATAAATAAAAGGGAAAAGGAAAGAAAAAAAACCAAGCATCTCAAGGAGAAAACATCAATTCATAACAACATCAATTCATGATCCTATGTTACAGAGACTTGATATGAGTCATCTATAAATTCAGGAACAGCCAAATTTATACCATGATGTCAGTTGAAAAGAAATGACAAGATTCACAGACTGAACAATAAGATGTCAATAAGTCTACAGTAACTGATTACTCAAGCAAATTATTTAGCCATGAAACTAGAAAAAATGTACAGGATAACACTACAAATTAATTGAAAACAAAACTCACATAGATGAGTTGAATCAGAAGTTTTCGCATTGTCGAATAAATAGTCAAAATCACTCCATATCTCCATACATCATCATACATAATATGAGGGCATTGAGATGGCAATATCCATTCCAACATAGGAACAAGAAATGCTTTCAATATATATACACTGCAACAACATATATGGAAGATATATCAATAATACTGGAACATGAGTGTAATATGACTAGCAACTATGAAGGTAATGATAACAGCATTATCTATAAGCAGACAAATAAGAAAAAGACAATTCAAAAGGACTGCAGTCAATAGTTACTGATAAAAAGGCTTTTAAAACAAGCATGGTAGATAAAAATCATAGGTCACTATTCTCATCAAAAAAAATTAATTTTCCACCACTGGTAGATACATAAACCACATACATGCATTTATATGTAGATGTGCAAGTATTGGTACATACATATCGCAAAGCCAAATATAATACAGGCCTCAACAACCACAATAATCCTAAAAATTTGGATCATGAAACCATTCCAAAAACCATCCTTTGTCATTTTACAACCACAGGAAGAAACTTTAATCGATTCAATTTCTTTCACAGTTGACGTGGTATTATTCTAGCCAAAACAGATCAACATGACATGAAAAGGGGTTAAAAACAGGCGAGCCAACCAACAGCACCCACCAACATCATTACCCACAAATTGTTCTCTCCCGGTAAGAACCAATTAAGGTGTCCCAAACAAGAGGACTTTTTACAAAATGTATTCATTAACTTTAACCTTGATTTGACACAACCCCAAATAACAAAAACTAATATACTCACAAGAACAATTATTGCGTCCATCTTCCTCGTGTAGCTAGATTCACTTGCGAGATAAAATCACATAAAAAAAAATGATGTGGAAAGAAAATTTTATGTTTATGAAATCTACAGCATACAACATATGTGCTTAACATAGAAATTGCTGTGAATTAGTTTCAAACAACCTGACTATATTATATGCACCCAGGAATTGAAAATACAAGCAAAAGATCAAAATAAAACCATAATTTAGGAAAAAAAAATGCTAACTTCAATCCTAAAGTGGACTGAAAATAAATAGAAAGCAAGGTTCTGCATTATATCTTGTGTGGATGAATATAAATACTTGTACTTAGGTAAACAATCAATATGCCAATCAATATATTGCCAAATAATTTCAAATTTTGACAAAATTAAACCAATTAATTAGGTACAAAACTAATATATTGCCAAAAAATTTCCAAATTTAACAAAATTATAAGCTTTTAATTACCTAACAATGTGATTAAAAATAAATATAAACAAAAGTGAAACAATAATCAAATTAAACTACAACTAAATAAAGATTATGATTTTTGCTACCTGCCCAGAAAAATAAATCCATTGAAGAGAAAACATTGACTAGTTCGAACCAAAAGGCTTTTAGACCTGCAAAGTGAAACAAATCAAATTAATTCAATCTAAAATAAATAAAATTCAGCAGGTTAATAATTAAATTAAAAACATAAATTTTCTTCAAAAATAATAAAAATAGGAATAAACCTGTAACAGAGAATAGCAACTCTATGAACGCAACAAGCCTCTTTGAAACCATGAAACCAAAGAAGAGATCCTTGCTTTAGCTTTGCTAATGTAATTTCTCCAATTGGTGGACTAGCCATTACTAATTTACTATGAAGCGTGAGAAGAGAGAGAAAGAGAAATAGAGTAGAAGTACTTCGTAATACACTAATACATAAGGCGTTGAGTTTAAAAAGAATTAAATTGATTTAGTTTAGTTCCAAATATTCTTTTATAGTTTGGGATAAAGAGATTAAAAGAGGGTAAACGAGGAACATAACTCGTTGTTTCAAAAAAAAAAAAAAAGGAACATAACTCGTTAATCAAATGTTTTACACCTAATTGTTACCCGAAGTAGATGTTTTGGGTCTTTTCAAAAAAAAAAAAAAAAAAAAAAAAAAAGATGTATTTGGTTTTAGTCTTTTATCCAAAAAAAAAAAAAAAAAAAAAAAAAAAAAAAAGCATCTATTTACAACTTTGTCATTTAAAAAAAATACTAGGTTAAGTCCCGTGTCATGCATGGTCATAATTAAATTTATAACAAATAAATAATAATGTTAATTCGACGATAATTTATCCAAAAAAAATTATTTATAACAAAATAATTTAATAGTTTATACCAATACTAAATAACGTAAAGGTTATTGAATTGAATTATATAAATGGAAAATTTGTCAGAAACAACCTTTTAAATTGTCCACTTTATTTAAAAACAACCTTTTAATTTATTTTTTTTTTGCAATTTCAGACCAATTATAAAGTTTTTTTTATTAAAGACAACCAAATGCTACTTTCCGACATTGACACTATTTTTCCTGATGTTGACCACTAGTGTGCAACACACGTGAACTCGTGTATTGCTTAATACACCAATTTTCCCTCCAATTCACTCGTACTAAAAGAGGGATGAAAGAGAAGTAGGAGTTTTAATAGGAGTTAATTGGAGGGAAAAGGGGTGTATTAAGCAATATAGGAGGTCACGTGACTCGCACACTCGTGGTCAACATCGGGAAAAATAGAGTCAACGCCGGAAAATAACATTTGGCTGTCTTTGATAGAAAAATTTTATAATGTGGTCTGAAATTGCAAAAAAAATAAAATAAAAGGTTGTTTTAAATAAAGTGGGCACTTTAAAAGGTTGTTTCTGACAAATTTTCCTATATAACTAAATAAATAAACATAGTTATAGAAACTTAGAAGCTAAGGTTTTATATAAGAAAATTAAAATATTAGCTTAGGTTAGTACCCATATACGTACTCATACACATTTGTCACTTTGATCGACATAATATGAAATTTTAGTTGAGTTTATTTTACTTTAGGATAATTTGTATTCAATAATCAACTTTTTGAATATATCTTTAGTAATAATCACATAAATGTTTATAATAATTAAATAATTTTTCAATATATGTTTGTGTACAAAGTATATTATAACAAACTTATTTTGTTCTTTTAAATGTTACGTATAATTTTAAGATTAATACAAAGTATGCTACCAAAATTGTTTTTCTTTTTTTAATTAAAGTAAATTTTATTATCAAATGATAAAAGTTAGAGAAAAAAAAATTGATATCGATAATATTATAATAATTTTGGAAAAGAATATATTCCAATACATTATTTTCAATCAATGTTAGTATCTATCTATAAATATACTAAAACAACCACTGATATCATCACTTTTTAATATTGTACACATGTCAAGCTGTTGTTAAAAATTTTCCCGCCTAAATCAATTGTTGACACTATATTCTTATTTAATTTTTTTTACCTTAAATTATTACAATTATTATTTTAAAGACAATTATTATATTTTACTCCATATGTATATTATGAATTTATGAATGACTATCTGGCTTCAACAATTAATTACTCTCGATTAAAGAGTACTTCGTAATGCATAATTTGCTTCAATTTTTACTCTTCTTCAAAATTAATAAAATCTAAATATCATTGCAAATGACAATTAATGATTATGTTTTTATAATTTATCTCATATGCGAGACATATATAAAATATATATTTATTTCAATGAATTTTTTTTATGTCGTGCATTGCACGGGGCTTATCTAGTTTTTGTAACTAAGAGTTTCCTAGTAAATAGAATATATGTAAAAAAAATTAATTAAATATAATTGGATTGAAAATGCTGTCAAAAACTAAAAAGGAAAAGGAAAAAAACGCGGGAAAATTTTTAACCAGGAAATGACAAGTGTCATTGATAAAATGTACAAGAAATGCTTTCAATTCGGGGATGATATTTTCGCCTTTATTATAGGTTTATTGATTGTTTATTTTATCAATAAGATAATCATGGAATTTCTCAAGGTAAACTAGGCTTTGGATGAGAAGGTTTTCAACTGAAAGAGGTTTTTAGTCGTTAGACCCAATTGTTAAATATTTTCTAAGGTCTTTCAAAAAAAAAATCTAAAGTGTATCTACGAGAGTGTCCAGCAGGTTGTTCATATTGAGTAAAGGTGATCAACATTGGCCTAACCCACTAGCCCGACTGACCCAACCTGAAAATATGGCAGGTTTGGGAAAGCCAAAAAATGCTTTGTTTTTGTTAAAGTCATGAACCCGACCCGAAAAAAGCCTAAAAGCCTCTTTGATGGGAGAGCATCGACACTACTTTTGGGTCGTATTCGAATAATGTTGATTTGATTAAGACAGAAAAATATTTGGACTTGATTTGAATTATTTGAATGATTTTCCTCATATGTGGAATGCAACTTTTAGAAATTTTTGGTCTCTACCTACTTGAGTCCAACTTGGACTCAACCAAGGATTAAAAAAATATTAAAAAGCTTTACTACAAACAAAATAACTGAAAAAATAGTACAACAGTAAGGGACCCTCTTCCTTTTTCCTTTGTACCAGAGATGTCATCCCCAAATTTTCACAGCAACATGGCAGGTGAAAAATCCCCCAAAATTTTCCCCAAATTTTTCCCTCTAAAAATTTTGGGGAAAAAATTAATGGAGTTCCCCCCTTTCATTTTGAAGACGCCGCTAAGCAAGAAAAATGAACAAACCAGTATTGAAGAGTTGCGAGGAGCGGTATTTGTAAAAGATCAAATCCCGATTTTGTGAGAAACCATAGTTTTGCGACTAATTAATTCCCGCAATTTGAGTAAGCTAAACAAATTAATCAATAAATGGTTGTGCGGTTGGCAAAATGGATTATGAGAATTTGGCGAACAAAGAAATTGAGATGACTGAGGTAAGTAATGCTTTCGATTTCTTTAACTTTGAACCATATTGTTGTTGTTAAGGAATTGATTTAGTAAATGTTGGTAGTGGTTGATTTTGCGATGGTTGATTCTGGCAAATCGAACTGAATTTTTTATTTTGAAAAGTTGAGTAAATAGTGAATTATATGAACTTTGGAAAGTTGTGGTGTTCAGTTCTTAATTGGGGAAAACATAAACTGATTAAAGATTATCTATTAGTGTTAAATGATTTGTAGTAATTCATCTTGTAGTTATGTGAATTATGCTTTTGATTTCTTTAACTTTAAACCATATTGTTGTTGATGAGGAATTGATTTAGTAAATGTTGGTAGTGGTTGATTTTGCGATGGTTGATTCATCTTGTAGTTGTGTTGTGTTGATAAAATTATTATATGGATTCATCAATTAGAATCTGTACTCACAACCTTTTATTAGTCAATCCTTGATGACAGTTAATTGTATCTTGTCTATTGGTGATTGCCTAAAAGTCTAAAATTAGCAGACATAAGTCAACAGGATTGTGATCAACAATAAGAAGCAACAGTAGCATATTCCACGGTTATGTGAATTATGGACCTTGTTTTGATAAATTTCTTGTTGGTTTAGGTAGGAGTATAATGTGAACCAGGTTATGGAGGGGAGCACATATGTAAACTACAGTTCAGATAATTCTTCAGACAGTGACAGTGATGATAGTGTACAATTTGATTTGAATGATGACTTGAATATTGATGTTGATGTTGGGGAGGGTTTTGACTTGAATAAGGACCCTACTTAATGTAGCATTCCTAGTTAAATAAGGACCTTGCTGAACGTAGCATTCTCGGGGAGGGTTTTAAGTGAACGACGACTGTAGTTTGGGTTTACATAGTGCAGACGTGTACAGTTCGGGATCAGGAAGATGTTTAGGGGCAACTGCATTACCTCATCTAGAAGTAGGAATGGAGTTTATTACTTGGAATGACATGAATAATTATTATTGTAGATATGGGTAACAAGAGGGATTTGAGTGATGAGTGTCATTTATGGCACTCATTTGGTTCTCTTAAGGGTGGATTTCATGCTATTCTATAACTCTTTTCCTTAGCTTTTCCTTAAATTTACTCTTTATTTCTTTAGTTTGCATTTTCTTAGTTGAATTTCTATTTTTATGCATTTCTTGGTTTATTTTGTTATTTTTTCTTTTATTTGCTTGTTTTCTTTCATCTTTCAGGTTAGGGTCATTATCCAAAGATTCCCGAGGCCCCTTCCCAAGTTTGGCATTGATTAGGATGCCTAATGTTCTCCATTTGAAGCTCAAGCATGGAGAAGTGCAAGTTCCTAAAGACTCTAGGTCGTGCTTTCAAGCCGTGAGGGCACGAATTCTCGTGTTGAACCCACAATCTTGGAGTTTGGAAACTGCAAGGTCCTGTGTTTATTAAGAGCATTGAGTGAAACGCACGAGTAGCATCGACATGATGGTGAAGAGGGTTGCCCTATTCCCAGGCGCGGGCACGCGCGACTATGGCGTGGCCGCCCGGCCTGGTGGCGCGGGCGCGCCTGTCTGGGTCTTTGTTCTGTACCAAGATTTACGCGGCCGCGCTCCCCTTTATAGTTGGCTGTGCCAGTACGGGTTTACTATATATAGATTTTCATTCTATTTTTAGAGAGAGAGTTCATTTTTAGAATTATAATAGGAATTTTAGATCATTTTGTAGAGAGAGAAACTCTAGATTGTAGAGTGAGAAGTTCTTGATTGATGATTAAAGATTGATGATTCTAGCATTTTCTCCATTGAATTGAAGCAAGTTTGTAAGGATTTCTTTTACTTTAAAGCAATTTTTAGCATATGATTTCAATAGTTTTGTTGATTGTTCAAGTTTGAATTGAATTTGTGATTGAATTAGTTTTATTGATATGATGATGATGAAATTGTTGTTTATCTTAGTTTTGATCTTGATTTCCATGGATTGTGAGTAGTTCTCTTGCTAGGGGAATGGTGAAGCATATATGAGTAATGGATTGATGCTAATTAGGGGAAATTGATGGAATTTATGTAGTGATTAAATTGGTTGATTAATTAAATGCATGTGTGTGATTAATTGAAGAGTAACTAACTTTGATTGTTGCACTAGAATGCATTGTAATTTCACATTGATACGGAAAATTGATTTGTGGCTTGATTTTGTCGATTGAGTAGGTTTGCAAGATTCCTAGCTAGAGTCTCTCTTGGTTGACTCTAGTTTGACCTCTAGGAGATAAGCCTACCATACTCTCTTGATTGCTTAATTGATTTTCCCTCGCAACACTCGACTTAGTCATCTCCAATCCCAATTAGTTATATCCATTGCGAGTATATGTGGATCCTAACCCTAGTGTTTGATAAATTTGATTTCATTTCGATTGTTTGATTGTTTAAAATAGACACACCTTACTTCATTACTTCGAGATAGCTTAGCTTTAGCATTAACATTCATCTCCCATTCCTAGTGGTTCGACCCTCAACTTACTCCTATGCTAGGTATAAGGGTGTGTTGAGAGATTACAAAATTTATTTGACCGAGGGAAGATTAGTTTTCAACGACCTAGTCTCCACCCGCGATCATTGGGGTTGTGTGTATAGGTGGGTGAAAGATTGATGGTACGAAGAAAATGACATATAGCACTTATGTTTGGAAGTGTGAGTGTTACGGAATTTCAACATACAGGAGAAGGGTTAATGGAAAGAGGATTATGGTTTTTGATGAGCTATCTAAGAAGAAGAAGAGTAAAAAATGTGATTGTCTAGTTATGATGTATAGGCAAGGAAACAATGATGGTGTGTGGAAGATCAAGAAAGTTGTTAATGAGCACAATCACAAAGTGAGTCCTGAGCTATCAAGGCACATTGCAATGTGTTGGGGGGAAAAATTACCTTAGCATGTGGACAAATCCCGCGGTGACACTTGGCCCAATCAGAAGGCGATACATGTCATTATAGGAAGAAGCCACGTATGTAACCCTATTTAAGAACACCCGAATAAGAGAGAAAAATGGCCTCCTTACTTCAAGAGGCCCAAATCCCGAGAAAGCCGCAAAACGGTACTTCCTCAAGGACACGTGTCCCTACCTGATTGCGCCGTCAATCAGAAAACGTCTTTCTAGGGTACAAACCCTAAAAAGCTAAGATCCCCACCCCTATAATTACCCTTATAATTTATAATGGGAGGGGTGGATCAAGACAACATTTAATAGAGCACAAAACAACTCCGGAATATTCCGTTACTAATTTAACCGTCGGAGGCGTATATTCCGTCACCGGAATATTCGTGTTATGCGGGTGTCTCAAACTACTTGTCAGAAGAACGCGACCAGAGTCTGAGGGAATCACAAAATCACCCGAAACATTTGGCGTCGTCTGTGGGGACTCTCATCCATTATGGCAATAGATGGTCCGACACCAAACACAAGTCCTACTCCTGGTGAGGACGGATATGTAGAGGATATAACTGCAACAATCAATTCTAGTGGCCCACTGATCGCCTCATTCCATGAGGCTAAGGATCCTCCAGTTACTGCTGGTTAACTTAAGCTTTCCTTGAGCAAGCTCCGAATGGAGCTTTAGGTTAAGATGCCTTATTCCTCTAGGCAGCAGCCTAGGAGGGGAGGAAAGGGCACTCACAAGAAGACTTAGAGCAAGGCAACAAACGCCGAAGATGCTGGAAATACCCCTTTCAGACGACCTGGAAGATCTCCTAGGGTACCACGAACGAATCTGTCGAGGTTCCTAGAGAAAACACATGCTGGGGGCAGACCAGACAGGCTCGTAGGGAAGAGCTTGAGTCTTCTTGACGCTGGAAGGATGCAAGGGAATACATTCGGCATAAACAACGGGAACGAGCACCCTACTCGGACACTACCTTTATTCCCATAATGCCGGATGAATTCTCAGACCCCCTCTTAGTAAATATACCAGCTCGGCCAGGACTAGTAGATGCCAAGCTCATCATAATCAAACTCACATTCCAATTGCTCAGCCGATTCAATATCAGACCCCCAAAATCTTAATGCATTTTTGCCGCCTAACCCTCCTTCCTTCGGATAGTACGGGAAATATGGCCAGCCGTTAGACCAAGTAGCTTACTTGGACGGACCGTCCGCACAGCTTCAACTAATTGATTGAAAAATGCGTTTGTTAAATCTCGATGATAAGCCGCCTCCGTTTTCTCAAGAAATTCTCAACTCCACTCAACTAGCAAAGGTTAAGAGTGTACTTGTGGGCGCCTATGATGGTATAGGAAACCTAGAAGAGCACGTCACTTCATATCGAAATCTGATGTATTTGCAAAGTGTGGACGATGCCACATGGTGCAGGTGCTTCCCAGCCACCCTTAAGGGATTGGCGCAGGACTGGTTCGACAGTCTGTCGGCCGGATGCATCATTGTTTTACCACTCTCAATCTATTGTTTGTTGGAAACTTCTCATACAACATTCCCCCAAGGAAGACCAGCTTGAACAAAAACTAGCAACAATCGTTCAAGGAAAGAATGAAGGATTGCGTTCATACGTCCAGAGGTTTAATAAAGAAATAGCCCAAATTCATAACTTACCGGATGAAATGGCCTATTCAGAATTTCTCCGGGGGTTAAGGCATAATGGTTTCAAGTTTGATTTAGCCAGGAAAAATATTCGGACATACGCAGGCGTACTGTGGGAGGCTGAAGCCTACATTGAGGCATCTAACTTTTTTTCGCTTACCAAAGCAGAACAACCGACCAAGGAGGCTAAGAAGAAGCAACCTTCTTAGCAAGACTCGGCTGGAAAGAAAAAAGAAGGAAACAAGCGGAAGGAAGTTTGGGTAGCTGACACACAGCAACCAAAATCAAAGAAGGTTAAGACGTACAAACCACAGTTGAGTTCAACAAGGATTGTTACTCAATCCCGATGGAAATCAAAGATACATTTGAGTTCGAGAAGCCCCAACCACTAAGAGGTTTGGCCCAGTATCGCAACAAGAACAAATATTGCCATTACCAAAAGGTCGTGGGACATGAAACCAATGAATGCATTAACTTGAAGAGATTGCTGGATAAACTGACCGAAAAGGGCATGTTGAATTCGTACATCTTGAAATCAAAATTCACATACACTCGGACAGATAACAAATCCGAGAAGAAAAAGCAAGCTAACAAGGAAGATGATGGAAACAGAATTGACTATGGTTTTGTGGCCGTTATATCAGGAGGCTTTGTCGCAGGTGGCCCTACCATGAAGGGAATCAAGCAGGATGCTTGGAATTTGGGGAGTGTGATGCATGCTGAGGGGGTGAAGGACGAGCCTTTCCCAGAAGTGACGGTCTGCGAGGCATATCGAGGCGAGATAAGAGCCCCTCACAATGACCCCATGGTATTCATTATGAAGGTGGCTAATATAAAGGTTGGTTGGGTGCTAGTTGATACTGACAGCTCGTTCGACATAATCAGCCTAGGATGTCTGAAAAATTTGAACTTTCCAGAAGATGCCCTCCAGGATATTTCCCATCCGCTTATTGGGTTTGGTGGGAGTATAATATACCAGGTAGGACGGATTGCATAAAAAAGATTCTCATTGGAAAGACCATCCGTAATGAGTAAAAAACATAGGATTTTTACACATAGGAAATTCGAGAAATATCTTTCACGACTAGAATCGAAATAATACTACAAAAACTGGAAAATTCTAAGAACACAGAAAGTTGCTGAGGCATGTAGGAACTAGCGTCTAGAAAACAGAGCCTGTCGCCAATGATATGGCTCTGTCGCCCGACGACAACATTGTCGCCTGGTGATAGGGCTATATTTTTTTTGACGGACTCTGTTGTGTGGCGCCGTGATCTTCCAATACCGAGCCAGAAATCTGCCTTCTTGTTTTGACTAGTTCTAGCACTGTTGGCTCGATTCTACTTCCTGATTGAGTTTTTATCTTATTTCTGAAACCCATATATGTTCTACATATGGACATAACCCTCTGGGAATACATGCTCCATCTACCCGATTGAACACTCTGAGCAAAAAAGGGTACATCCGAATTTGTTGAATTCACCAAACAGTGGAAGCGAGTTTAACTCGCGAGGTCCCACCCACACGCGCCAACCCTTCCAAAGGTAAGGCTACCGCGCGGTGCATCAGGACTCATAACCATGGATCCTCTTTGACTAATCCATATCCTGAACTTTAGAGAACTAGAGCCATGGTTAGGTTGCAAACTTATTGCATCATGTTGTGACTACTTGACTACTTGTGCATCTCTTACTTGTGCATACTTATTATGGGACTAAACTAACCGTTTGGTTTGACTTGTGTTTGTAAATAAGTCTTAATAAACTAACCAATGAATAAAAGGATTTTCTTAATCAATTGATTAATTAATTTGAGGTAAAAAAATCTACCTTAAATCGAGTCATAGTTCCTTTAAGTCAACCCGGATTTTTATTCCCGTATACTGCACAAGCGTCAACTTGTTTTGGTCATAGCCAGAGTTCTAGGAAGAACTACGAGTCGTACAGTCTATGGATCTGTAGCCCCGAGTTTTATCTTTAATTTGGCGTTGATTTCGTCCCAATCAGAGTCACAGATAAAAATTAATTACTAAAATACTACAGCCTGTCCGATTTAATGCATTTATGTGAGGTCTTAACTTAGTCTTTGTTCGAGTCTAGTCACATAGTCTAGTCACATGGTCATGGCACAAGTCTTAACATGTCACTTACACTCACTAGTCTTAGTACACACTTTGTATATGTCACCATGACCATGTCTTAGGTTCATGCATTAGTCGTTTTCCGTCATTCGAGTGGGGGGTCCAATCTATTCCCATTCTCTTCCATGTTGAATAGTGCTT